GAAATCGTGGGGCGGGGAAACTTTTGACGAACGCACCTGGTGATGTAATGGGACGCTATATATTTGACTTGCAAATTTCATCTGATGCGATGTTCCAAAAGTCAAAGAATTTATAAAACGTCACTGACTTTAATAAAACATTAAGGGCCTCGAAACGTGAAATTTATTAGATTTTCATTTTTTTTATACAATATCCAACTGATTTTAGCAAATGAATGAGAGAAGAAAAATTAAATAGAAATACACATCTCTAACCAGGATTTCAAAAGTTATATAAATGCAAGAGTTTGCTAAATTTAGCTTTTTTTTTAATTTTATTTTATCGTAATGGAATGTTTGTATTAAATTAATCAATAGACAATAATCAAGCAAACTCTGGTTTATTCAATTTTTCATTTTCACTTTCTATCTCATTTTTTTTTTTACTTACTATTTTCAATGTGAAATGCTTTATTAAATATTTTTAACATTTTTTCCATGCGCTCATTGCAGTTTTGGGTCACTGAACTACATCACAAGACTTAAAATTGAGATCAACGCCCTTTGCAGACCCTCCTTTACTTAAAAAGATTTCTCTAAAAAGGACCCTCATATGCACTACTTTTAAATTTAATTAGGTACGTCCGAGTGAATTATATAGAGGCATGACGCGTTGGCCGCTTACACGTTCATTATTTTGTGTGCGTTCTTTCAGAGGGACAAACGCAATCAAAAAGTTGATTAGGTCCGAAATATTTCATGTGAACACGCCAGCAGCGGCGTGGCGCTTTTGATTCAATTAAATTTTGACTTTTAATTACACGAGACGAGCGCAGAAATGAAAGAGTCTCTGCTGCGTATGCGGATGAGATGAACAAAATAATAAGCTGGTCATGTGTCCACCCATTCCATAAAATTAAAACGCACGGCATGGCCGTTTTTAATTTCCCTGGGCGCTGAATTTACGAGCTGGTTAACTGGTTTTAAGCGCGTGAAGGATGACCAGGGATTAAATGAGATTAGAATTTATTAACGATGAGCGGCCATTGCTGCGTGGCGCTTCTCGTCCGGGGGTGTTAAATGAAGAATAAATAAATATTTGAGAATAACGAGACGCACATGGGGCCGAATTTAGCGCGCGTGCCAGCGTGTATAGTAGTTTTACATTCAAATTTTCTTTATTGCACTTGCTTATTGAATTGGAAAGTGGAGGAGGGATGGAAAAGTACACACTTGCTGCTGATGTACGACCGATTCCAATTTAATATTCCGAAAAGGGAGATGCACGTTGATTTATGCGCACAACTGCGAAAGCTTCCGGCTTTCGACAGCAAATCCGCGTGCGCTTTTATCTCCCACTGATGCAACAATGGGATATTCGCTTTCCGATCAGGCCTCCATTTTTTGTATTCCGCTCGAGTATATCCAACCAAGCTGCACATTTTTCAATGTCGAAGCTGCATTTTTAAAGCTCATTAACATAGGAATTTGCATCGGATTTACATTTTTTGGCGCCCAACTGTCAAGGGAGACTATAAAGCCAGAGGGATATTGGAGTTGAAACAGGTTTGAAATTATGAGCGAAGCTTGATTTAGAATGGTTAAAGCTCTTCCATAATTCATATCCAGAGTTTTGACATGAGTGAATTTCTATATTCGGCATCCATCCTATTTAAAGCTTTAGTGTGCTGGTGTGCAAAATTTCTTAGAAATTCGCTTACATCTATGGGATGATAAAATAGGCTAAAAACACTTTTGGTACGTTTTAACGGTTCCGATGTTAAAAAATTATAGAATACTTTTCAAAACTCAATCATTCAATTCAATTCATTTCGTTCTTTATCTGAAAAAGGAATTGAGCCAAGAAATTTTTTGTTTTGTCTTACAAATTCTCCATAATAAGTTGCTTACACAATAATAAAATATACTGGATAAATTTGAGTTCATTCCAGTTTAATTAAAACTAATCTTATTATATCATAGCAGAACCAAATCAATATTGTTAAATTTAATTGAACTTCGCTTTTAGAAACTAATGGTGGATAATTTAACATAAATAAATTATATTTACATTAAAATTAATTTTACGACAACATGTTTTAATTATGTTATAGGGAAATACTAAAAGCAAAACTATAAAAAATCGGCATTCATCTCTAGAATTTTTGCTTATTGTTTCTTATTTTCTTCTCATGTAAAAAAAATCAATCCGTTCTAGGAAAAAACGACATTTCTTAGCAATCTTGAGGAGCTTCACTTCAGTCTGAAAGAAGAAGTGCCCCTTTTGCGCAACATTTTATCTCTTGTGATGTGTACCGCGCGCACATTCCTGGCCCCAAAGCTCCCAAATAAAAGAATTTCCAGCTCGGCGTTTTTATTTTTCTTTGTCTGGCGAGAGCGAGATTAGCTGCCTCTGCTCTTCTCTCGTAGCGTTCCTTTTCCATTTCCACCTCATTACTCTGCGTATTTTTTCCTGCTCCGGGCGATGATTTGCTCCTTTTCCTGCTTCCCAGACGCCCCTGCTTTTTATTATTTTCCCTCTCAGAGTCTAATGTTGGCCTGTGTGTGGATTGCCCGTCCTCGCCGGCGCCCAAATGTCTCATTGCGAGAATATTTCACCGAGATAATGGCCAACGGTATAAATATAGCCCTATTTGTAATAACCGAGATGGAACAAAGAAAGAAGAGAGGGCCGTGTGTGCTCCTTTTCCTCGCTCACACTAGCTGCTGGCTCTAGCTCGAATGTTATTATTGAACCAAGTTGGACCGTAACTTATCCTCACTCGCAGCGATATTGCTACCGGCCAAAAAGAACACACATTCACTTATCTGCGCCAAATCCTATTTTGCTTGCTCACCAATAAACCTGGAGATGAAATTGTGCAGAAGCTTGCTTAGAACCCTGGATGGAAAAATTTAAATGATTAATTTGATCAGGAAAACAAAAGGCCAGTATAATTATAAATTTCATGTAAGTTAAATTATATATTGAAATCAGTCTAAATTCAATTATATCATGTCGTATCTTATATTGACTGAATTTGTTTGTGATTCGCATTGTAAAGTCAGGTATATTTTTCTTCATCGTAAAATTCTTCCTCAAACATTAGATAAACATTAAAAAGCTTTGACTGAATATAAATGTTACTTTTCTCTAATTGTTACCACCTCATTGTGAGCATATTACAAAACATACTATATTATGCATAATTCAATATGAATAAATCATTTTAATTTTTAAAGATCACTATAAAACCCCTTTTTAAAATGTAATATTTAATTATATAATTGTAAGAAACATGTCCCAAGAATTTATTTGTAATTTGTAATTATTCAAATTTTATACAGTATCTTTTGAAGGGACAATATTAAAATATAAAATGTTTTCTCTCTTTAATAGATATAAATATTAATTGTAATTAAAATACAAAAAAACATTTTTTAATCAAAATATTAAAATTTTTAAAAGCTTATAATATTTAAATTATAAAAAAATACAACATTTTTTTTTAACTAGCATCTTTTTTAAATATTGTGGGTTTTTGGAGCAGAACCGCCGTGGTTTGCGCCACATAACCTTTGGTATGGGCCAAGGGCGGCGGTTCATAATTCTGGAAGGGCTGATGGTGTCACACGCAGGGCTGTAAGTCACCCGGCCTGGAGAACACGCACCAAAAAACATTAACTTCTTGCCAAGGCTTAATTCACTGGCGCTGCTCAAGAGCGTGCAAGAAATATGTGGGTGCTGTTGCAGTTCTATATTTATGGCGGTATAAATTATTGCTCGCTCACATACATGGTCCAAAGGAAACGCACAGCCTTCGGATATTGAGAAGGGATTGTGTTTTGTGTGTGGCCACGGAGTGCGCCCCTTCCTAGAAATCAGATCGCAAGAGATTTCATTTTAATTCTACTAAAAATGTATTCCTTTTTGACGGTGGAAATATTTGATTAACAAAAAAATTAAAATAAATAAATTTATCAAAAAGATTGAGAAGCAAAAAATAATTGGAATTTATTAAGTGAGAGGCGTTAAATTACTGCCCAGGGCGGCCCACTTGAAGTGAACTATAAATTTGGAAACGCAGCAGTAGCCGGCGATTTTATTCTGTTTTCTGTTTAAATATGAGACAACTTCCAAGGCTCTTGGGTTTTTTTTACATAAAGAGGATGAGATTCCAGCAGCATTAATTTAATTTTATGTCCACCTAAATCATCCAATTGCGCAATTAGCTCCTACTGTGTGCAATGATATATAAACAAACATTTTTCACTACAATTCCTTTATTTATGGTGCAGTACCGGTTCTGTATATTTCCTTTCAAACACTTGGTCGGAAAAATCTAGTAAGTCTAAATGCTTTTCGAGCCCGGAATTTGAAGGTGCCATTCTGAGGATATTTACTGTCTTAATTGCCGTCTCAAAATATTTATAAAGCGGACTGCTCCAATTTCAGAGGCAAAATAAAAATTCCCGAGCCTGCACAGCTATGTCAAGCTCGTGTTTACGACCCCTATAGGACTATACTTGAAAAAAGAGCATTTTCCGACGCGGAGGAATGCATCTTATAGAGAGGTAAATCACCTCAAATTATGTTAACTGCAGCAAATTCCCAAGAACAAAAATTTGAAGAAAAAAATAACAGGCCTGTGGCTCATTTTAAATCCGTCGGTGCTAAATATATTGATTTACTATCCTTTCCTCGTCCATCACGTGTATTAAGAAAGAGAGGAAATGCATATTTCGTGTGTGGGTTCGAGTTGACCCCTACACAGCACGACCGCTTAATTACTTAAATAGAAATGGTCCTTGTTTTTGATGCATAATTCAAGTTGGGATGGCTTTTGTAATTTATGATACTAAACACGCTGCTGGGGCTCAATTAGCGGGGATTAAAATTTATGGATCCTTTTAAGAGCCACTAAATTTCTTTTCTCACCAGTCTTTCGTTTGTTTCTAATTGTAGAAATTTTTGCTTCAATAATATTCTTTGTTTGTAACAATTTTCTTTCTAATTTCAGATCCTCTGGTGTATAAATCAGCTTCCTAAAAATTAAGGTAGGAGAAGTTTTATTTCAACTATTTTGTTACATTACTTGAGGGTGCTTTAGTTACGATTCTTAATCTTTTGATGTTCGCTATTTTCATATATAATTATATTCCATTTTCAAGAAATTATTCAAATTAATTTTTTATAAGGAATAAAATTAAGAATTTAGCTTTGAAATTTTTCATATACATGAGAGAGCCCTTATTTCGCCATAAAATTTGTTCTCTACGTTTTAATAACACGGGGTCGTCTCTCGCATTATAATTTATGAGCCTTTAGGGGCCCCAAAGGAAAACGCCATGCAGAGATCCGGCGAGAGAGTTTTGCGTGTTGCAGCCACAGCACTCTCTCTATAAAATCGTCCAACATCCGCAGCATGCACCGCACTCTCGGTAGCACCCTTTGATCCATGGGGGATGTTTGCGCAGAGAATGGGCGTCCGGATGAGCCCGGCACGTGCCCCTTTGTGTCATTTTCCGCGCTGTTGGTCCTGCCAGGGTCTTCCTCACGCAGGCGGCCATTAGACAAATGCATCACAATTAAGTGGATATGCAGAGAGGTGACTTTTGTCGCAGGCCAATGGTCCGGAACGGCTGCACCCAGCCAGTGGGTCCCATCGAAAGAAAAATGGAGTGCCGTGCGAAAAAATATTAATGAAGACCCCCGGGGCGAGTCTCGCGCGCGCTCGGCCGTAAATTTCCGTCGTCCACTGATAATTCCACCCAAATCGAGAGTCAGAAAAATGATTTATGGTGTGACGGCTGAGCCACAGCCGATCGATTTTATATTCTTTAGCACGCACGGATGTGGAAAATATTATTGCAAAGATATGGTGGTGCGTTTCTGTTCAATCATTTTGCTTCAATTTAGCAACAAATAAAAAAAACTTTACTCTATGAAAGTTAAGTTTTAAATTAGACAAGTTTTAATACAATGTAATAACTTTTATTTGTATAAAATTTGAGATTGTTTTCAAATTTTTTTATATTATTTATTAAATTTGTTTATATTAACTATAACGTTGATTTATTTAATATGGTACAATTTGTATTATTGTAATCATGAAAATTTTTGTTTTTATTTTTATACAAGCAATAAATTTTTTTGTTGAACTTTATTTGAATTGATTATGTTTAAAGTTGTCCACTTCATTGTGCTAATATTAATTTTTAACGCAACAACATTTGGATTATTGAGTCAATAATAAATAATCAGTAATAATTTGGTGGCTATTGAAATAACATAAAAAAAAATAAAAAAAACCAAACATAAAAATGCCTCACAAAAGAAAAGAGATGTGCAATGAAAGAGTTAACTTTAAGGTTAGTTTCCTTTCCTTCAAAGGATCTTAAATCTTATCTATATTTTACCCCCAAAAAATAAACATTAAATTATTTCAATTAGCATAAGCATTTCCATTTTCTTATTAAATTGTATACTTTTAATTGTTAAGGCTTTCTTATTAAACCGAGGATATCAGACAAATTACATATTATAATTTCAAATAGTAAAAACCGGGTTGACATCATAAAGAAAAAAAAACGAGTGCGCATACGAAAACCGATATCGACTAAATAGATTGGCTGGTTTAAATTCACGACTGTATATATAGCGCTGCTCGCTCACTCGTTAGTCGTTTTAATTTAACGTACCGATTCGAAATTTATTTTTTAATCTGGGCACGGTGGCGGCAGAGCGGCATGATTTTCCGCGCAATTAACAGTCCAAGAGTATTGGCCGAGTATTAACCAGCAGCACAAATGAGCGGCGCGATAATTTTATCTGATGTAGACTGCACACCAGCGCAGCCAAGCACTAACGATGAGATACGGCCGGCCATGATTCTGCACATTCGCGGGGATTAGCCCGAGCGAAATTTATTGATTGGCCGCGCCGTGCATGCGGTGGTTTTGTGTCCAGTCGCGCGCTACAATGTGTATAATCGCGGCGAGAGTTGCTACCCGCAGCAGCAGCAGCATCCAAGTCACGTTTCAACTTTGACCCGGCGAGGCCTACCAGACCACCAATTAATTGGCACTGCACAAACGCCCTCCGGATTCGAAAATGAAAGATGCATGTGGTCGTTTATCACGCGGTTAACGAGAATGAACTGTCGGAAATTATGCATGTTTTGTAGATTTTTAAGTTCATGAATAATGATTGTCCATGAAGTGTGGGATGTGGAGCGCAGGAAAGATAGCAATTATTTCAATATTATGTTATTATGGACTACATGCAGCATTCATGTAAATCTTCAATATACCAATTATAAGCAAGAAAGCAGATTAAATATTAATATCAGTCATTATATTTTTCTTTTATTTTAATATTAAATTAAAATATGTAATCTATTTTATATTTATCATTTCATACTTTATTATATTTTTATTTTTATAATTATTATTGTAAATTAAACCAATTCTCTGCAATAAGTTGTGCTGCTTTAAATTGTCTTTTCTGATGATTGAAGAAATAATATTTTATTAAATTAATTACCTTCTCATGCAAAACTGAGATAATTTTGATTGTAAAATCGATATTGAGATGGTCAGTTGATATACTGAAAATGCTCTTACTTTTATTTTATTATGCATCAATGTGAGAAAAGTTTTCAAGAAACTATTGTGTAATTTTTTTTCTAACTCAAATTTCTTGTAGTTTTTATTTATAATTTTGAATGTTTCGCAATTTTGCATGATGTATCTCGTTATAGGCAGAGATTGCCTTGTGGTACACAAATAAAGCAGCTATGAGAATTTAAAATAAACAATATAATAACATCCAAATCATGACGGCGTAACCTTTTTAATTTATTTGAACATACTTCAGGAACAAATTAAATAATGAATTTACGTAATTTATATCTTTCGTGCAAAGTCAAAATCAGCCACTAATTGGACCAACATTGAAATACGACTGCGCGTTTATTTATTTCCCCGTCTCTGATCTCACTCAACTCTCTGCTCTTATACACACTTACTTAGTGGTCCTGTAACGAGTGTTTTGTGTTCGCCACGTGATTCAGTGGGAACCTGGTGCGCCCAACATGGAGTTCTCGAGCCCGCCCGCCGAGCCCCAGAGAGTTCCACAGCTGCATGCAGTTTTTCCACTCGATAATGCAAAACAAATCGAAGCAAATTCCGCCACACTTGCCATTCCCCCGCATTACATATACAACGACCATTACAATTTATTTTCCACTGGAAGGGAAGAGATGTTTTTCACGAATACACGCGGCATTAATTAAGCAATTTTTTCCTTTGTTCGCGGCGATAAAATAAATAAAAATAAATAAACAAGCCGTGCGTGTGTGGAGATGTTTCTTTGCGAGAGGCTAACAATGGACCAGGTGACATGGGAGTTGCATTATGGCTGAGCGAGTCTTGTGTTCGCCGCCGAGTTATTTGGTTGGCCGAACACAAGGGCGGACTTGAAATAAGATCCTGAAACAGTCCACTTGTATCGCCATTAAAGCATCCAGCTACACGATTTATTGCTCTGTTTAATATTAAATAAAACGAGCAGCAGATTTTTCGTTCTCGTGTGGAGCGAGAGAGTGAAATAAGAGAAAAAAGCGGCAGGCCGAGTCTGAAAACGAATCTCACAAAAAATAACACACACAAGAGATTCGCACCAGCCTCGTAAATAATGCAGCCATGACGCTCAAAGAAACAGCATTTTTGCGCTGAGAAAAAGAAAGAAAATGCCTCGAACACGCAACCTAAGGCACCACCTCTTAAATTGCAAAATGGCCATTAAATCCGCCGGGAAGCCTATCCATTTTGAATAGGACTCCTCTTCACTTTAAGACAAATGAATCTTGAAACAAAAGCCAGAAGTTTATTTATGCCATACATGTAATTGCTGGTTGATTGAAAATTAAATTGTTTAGAATTTAATTAAAAGTTAAATTAGTACTAAAAAATAGTTTTAAACCTTGGATAAACATAATTAATTAACTATTAATGCTGAAGAGTTTTTGTCCTCAATCATTTGGACTTCGGAGTAAAAATGAATTGATTCATTCAATGCGGCCTGTATTTAAATGATCTCTTGCCCAGCATTTGATTTCTGAAGATATAGTTAGTGCAAGATATAGTTATTTAATTAAATATTACATTTGTCTACAATAAGAATACCAGATGTCTCCATTTTAATCGTATCTTAAAATCACGTGCTGTTAATAATTTGATACAGTAAAATATGAAAATCTTAGTAATCTTTAAAATTAAGCTAAAATTGAAGAAACTTAAAAACTATTAAAATAAAATTAATTTTTTCAGTTAAAAATTAAATTTTTAATTATTGATCAATGTAAGAGTATCAATACTCTTACATTCACTATCAAATTTATTATTGGCATATAAAAATGACTATAATATTATTAATTTTTTAACCATCTGCATTGGCTGCCGCATTACTTTTGATTAAATTAATCAATCAATTTAATTAACCTAGACCTAAATCGATTTCGCGTGAGCTCCGGTGTGTCCCGTCACCCTCGACGCACTGGCCAGATTAATTAGGGAATTACAATCGGCGTGTGCAAATCTCCAAAGCCCAGGCTTAATTATCATGCTGGCGCGCGCGCTGCCGTGCCGTGTGCATAACTTACAGGCGATTTGATTCGCAGCCACGCCTGTGATACACATTAATGGCCATCCTCCCATCGCATAAATTCAGCACATTCGCGCGCTGCATTAAGGCTGATTCACGCCTCATAATTCTCGCAATCAAACAATCATAATGGCTAGGATAATAATTACATGTGTTAAGCCTGCTCTCGCACTCAGCACCCATTATCATGCATTATGGACAAAGTGCTCTCGGATATGATATTCGATGCGCCGTCCCACTGCCCACATTCAGCGCGATTCGCATTTATTACCCCGGCCGGCCGCCGGGTTTGATGATTTCTTCATTCAGAGTGATGCTGCTGCTGCTACGCTGCGCCGCTGATTCCGATCAATATTATAATTAGATTGCTCATTAAATTGCCAAGTATGGT